CCTCCTAGACCTCCTGGACCTCCTGGACCTCCTGAACTTCCTGGACCTCCTAGACCTTCTCAACCTCCTGGACCTCCTGGACCTCCTGGACTTCCTGGACCTCCTGGACCTCCTGGACCTCCTGAACTTCCTGGACCTCCAGGACCTTCTCAACCTCCTGGACCTCCTAGACCTCCTGGACCTTCTCAACCTCCTGGACCTCCTGGACCTCCTCGACCTCCTGGACCTCCTGGACTTCCTGGACTTCCTGGACCTCCTGGACCTCCTCAACCTCCTAGACCTCCTGGACCTCCTGGACCTCCAGGACCTTCTCAACCTCCTGGACCTCCTAGACCTCCTGGACCTTCTCGACCTCCTGGACCTCCTGGACCTCCTCGGGAGGGGCACTGTTAAACACGTCAGCAGAATCATGTCTCCCTTTTCTGCTTTTGAAAGCAGAAAACAAGCAATGGTGGTGGTGGGGAATCAAACCCAGAAACTTAGCATATGATTTCCCATGATTTCTGAGACTTACCCATAATCAGAAGTCTAAACCGGTCTTGTGAGTTTGCAGAATTCTGCTCTGGTGTGGACACCTCTGGGCACAGACAGCGGCTGCCCTCGCAGGACCATTCAAGGCTGCACCCTTGGAGGGACAGAGGATTAGAACTCACCGGCCCTCTTTGCAACCAGAGATGCAACTTTGTTTTCCTTGAAGAGGTGGGTGTGAGGCTGCTGGCCCGGAGCCATTGTGGACATTTGCGGAGGGTAACAGGATAGACCTCCGTACACAATTCCTGAAGGTGCACTGTGTCCCACAACTAAGGGCATGAAGACACCAAAGGCATGTCCCCTACTTACTCCTGACAGGACCGGCCTTCAGTCCACTTTCCCTTTCTGTGCTCAGGAACCGGCTCTTTGAACCCGAGTCCCTGTAATCTCAGCATTCAGGAGAAGCCCGTACCCAACACGCCACGTGAACCCGCCAGGGGCGTGTGATTGTAGCCGAGGAGACCGAGGCCTGAGATGGGCCAGAACGCTGCTCCAGAGCAGTCACAGGCCCTCTGCGCCCTCCCAGAGGCAGACTTGTGCCACCTCGTATTAGGGTGAAAACAGTAAAAGACGCTGCATTGTCAGTGACCTGAGCCAGCCGGGCCCCGAGTCCCCACTGCACTTTGGATGGCCACACCTGGAGTCTCCTTTCGTGGGTGAATCTGAACAATTGAAACACCAATGTCGCCCTGGTTGGTTTGGCTTAGTGGTTCGAGTGTCAGTCTGCTTACCAAAGGGTCGTGGGTCTCATTCCCAGTCAAAGGCACCCCTGGGTTGCAAGTTTATCTGCTGCCCTGGTTGGGTTTGTGTGGGAGGCAACCAATCAATGTGTCTCTCACATCAATGTTTCTCTCTCTCTCCCCTCCCCCCTCCACTCTATCTAAAAATCAATGGAAAAATATCCTCGAGTGAGGATTAACGAAAAAAAAACCAAAACACCACCACCACCAAAAAAACCCACCAATGCCCACAAACAGCTCCCATCACACAGAGGACGAAAGAGATTAAATTTTATTTTATTTTTTAATTCAGAAAACAGAGGCATTACATTTTATCAGACATTTTCTGGGGAAAGCAGTATAAAATCTATCATTGAGATAACTTTTTTTCTGTAATTATTTAAAAGTCCACACAAACACTCTATTTGAATGGCTGTGGTGGAGAATCACCTTAAAACAACCTGTAACTGAGCATACAAATTTTAGGGTCAAAATAACCAGGATTACAATTTGTTTTCATTTATTTGTGACTTAACATTTTACATAGTCATTTCATCTTATATGTTTAAGAATCTAAGAACTGAGCCCTGGCTGGGTGGCTCAGTTGGTTGGAGTGTCATCCCACACACCAAAAGTTTGCAGGTTCGATCCCCGGTTAGGGAACATACCTAGGTTGCAGGTTCGATCCCCGTTTGGGGTGTGTACGAGAGGCAACTGATTAATGTTTCTCTCACATTGATGTTTCTCTTTCTCTCAAATCAATTATCCTCATGTGAGGATTTATTTTTTATTTTTTTATCCTCACCCGAGGACATTCCTCCACTTTTTGTTCAGATAGAGCGGGAGGGAGAGAGAGGAAGAGAGAGAGAAACATTGACGTGAAAGGGACACATTGAGTGGCTGCCACCCACACAACCAACCAGGGCCGGGGACAAACTGCAAGCGAGGTACATGCCCTTAGCGGGAACCAAACCCGGGTCTCTCTGGACCGCAGGCCGATGCTCTAACTGCTGAGCCAAACTGGCCAGGGCTCATATGAGGATTGATTTTATTTATTTATTTATTTATTCATTTATTTATTATTTATTTATTTATTTATTATTTATTTATTTCTCACCCATGGACATTTTTCCATTTTTTGTTCAGGTAGAGTGGGAGGGGGAGAGAGGAAGAGAGAGAGAGAGAGAGAGAGAGAAACATCGACGTGAAAGGAACACATCGAGTGGCTGCCACCTGCACGACCGACCAGGGCCGGAGACAAACTGTAAGGTACATGCCCTTAGCGGGAACCGAACCCGGGTCTCTCTAGACCGCAGGCTGATGCTCTAACCGCTGAGCGAAACCGGCCACGGCTCATGTGAGGATTTTAAAAATAAAAAAGGGTCCTGGCTGGTTTGGCTCAACGGTTAAAGCATTGGTCCAGGGACCAAAGAGTCACAGGTCTGATTCCAGTCAAGGGCACGTACCTTGGTTGGGGTTCGATTCCCGGCCCTCGTTGGGGTTGTGCAGGAGGCAACCAACTGATGTCTCTCCCTCCCACTCTATCTGAAGATAAATGGGAAAATATCCTCCGGTGAGGATTAAGAACAAAGCATCCTTGGAACTGTGAGGCCTCACATGTGAGGGCTCTGGTGGGGACAGGAGAGTCTCTGCATGGCTCTCGTCACCTCGCCAGTCTGCTGCTCTGCACCTGCCACTGGGCAGGGAGCTGCCAAGGCCCGGTGCACCGTCGGAAGGAGGCAGCTGGCGGAGTCCCAGGCGCTCAGGCTTTCCCACTGCGGCCAGGGTGGTCTGTTTCTGCAGATCTGTAGCTTCTACCGGTTACCTGCCCACCCTTGACCGCAACTCATTTGAGTTTCTGTTCCTTGAGACCTGGAGAGGCTGGCCTCTAGGAGCCCTGAGGGTCTTAGCGGGCAAATTCGGAGAGCTGCCAGAAGGGCTATGGCTGGTGAAATCTCTCCTGTGCTGTGTTTACTGGTTGTGGGTCCCAAGGCACCAGCTGAAGGCAGAATCCATCTGCTCAAGGATCCAGTAAACAAGGTACCTGGGCGCCAGGCTAACTATCTGATCCCAGCGCCCCCGAGTGAGGTTCAGGACACCTGTGTCTCAGAAGGCCCCTTATCACAGCACACCAGGCATGGCTGCTCAACCTTCCAGAGGCTACAAATGCATTGGCACTGACCACGACCTCCCTCTGCCACCCAGGAAGTGACCTGCCACACGTAACGTGCCCTTAACGGCCTGTGACGATGCAGTGGGCGTGCACACACCTTCACCACCCACCCTGGAATTCACCCTCCTGGAAACACGTTTACCTTCAAAAGACGGTCCACTTGTCTTTTGCTGTTACTATGGAAAGTCACCATCAAAATCTCTTAAGAACTGATGTGCACAAAGAATTAGAACCGGTATCATTCAATGGTGCTGTATGATCCAGCGGCACCTTACCCAGGGAGGAGATGCTCTTTAGACGACCTTGAAGTCAGTTGGAGAGTTTGAGGGCATGAGAGGAGGAATTAAAAGCTGGGAAACAGCTCATGCATTCCGGGCTCCCCCACATGGAACTGAGGGCCCCTGCCCGGGACCCTAACCCTGCTGGTCACTTATGCCTTGGAGTCCCTGCAGACACGGTCACACGCTGGTGTCAGGCCGAGACTGCATTTGGCAGCGTTGAGGAGCGAAGGGTGCGGAGGTGCTTCTGTGAAATGTGCTGTGTTGTCTGGGACGAGGCCGCCACGCACTGCGAACAGAGCAGGAGTGAGCTGACCAGGCAGGGTCTCCAGGGAAGACCAACTTGGCCGCGGCAGCCACAGACACATGGCTAGCAGGGTCCTCACGCTCACCCTCGTTCACCCACACAAACATTAATGACTCGTGAGTGACCTGCTCCCTCAGGTTAGTAGGGTTTCCCTTAGGAAATCATCTTTGATGGTAGTTTATCAGCCATAGAAAAAACCCAGTCTTACAGATCTATTGCCTCATTTTGGAATAAAAACTGTTTGCCAAGTGACATGCTTACTGACGTGGCCTGGCTGCTGAGGCAGGTGTCCCTCCTGCAGCAGTGACTGACCACACCATGGCCCCAGGTGCAGTAGACTCATCACTTCGTAACCATGTAACCATCTTCAAACGATGCTGACTACAAGACTAAACAGAGGCATGACCCAGTGTGTGACGTCCCTGGAGCACAGGGAGGGCGTTCTGAGGTGCTCCCGCTGTCGCCTGGCCTCCGACAGAGCTGCACTTGCTCCCAAGTCCGTCCTCGCGGCAGCTGCATCTCTGGGGCGTGTCACTGGCCACTGAGGGCTGGCGACAGTGTAGCAGCTTCCAGTCATTCCCGTCCCAGGAGTCCACCTTTTCAGGTGAAGCATTATTATTATTTCCATACGCCTCCATTTCAAACTGGGATAATTCAAGACACAACAAACAGGCACACGGTGCTTCGGTTTTATTTAACGTCACTTCTGTGACCAGGAGCCAGCTGGGAGTCCAGGCAGGACAGAGCCACGTGGCCCCGGCACACCAGGACCCTCGTCCTCCCAGCCTGCCCTACACTGACATAAGCCAGGGGCCCAGGAAGAAGTGGTGGGACTGAGGCCACTTACAGGCTGTCAGATCCCTTGTGAAACGTGCTCCTAGCTCTGGCCGGTTTGGCTCAGCGGTTGGAGCGTCGGCCTGCGGACCAGAGAGTCCCAGGTTCGGTTCCCACTACGGGCACGTACCAAAAAAAAAAAAGAAAGAAATGTGCTCCTAGAACCAGCCGCTTCTCAAGGACGCCTGGAGTGTGGGGCAGGCGGGCTCCTAACTGTGAGTCTTCTTCTGTTTCAGCCTCAGCTTGTTCCAAACCCTCTCCAGGGCCACTCTTCCCATGAAGAAGGTGATGGCAAAGTTACGTTTGTACCAGTCCCTGCAGAGGAAGAGGACAGCACAGTGAAAGCCACACTGCCAGGACTGACTGGCACCCGTGCCTCTGAGCCTCGCTCCCAGCCCAGGGTAGATGACCAGGCTGCCCCCCCCTCTCCTCACTGCCTCCTCCTTTCTCAGCAAAGCTGAACTGTCCATCAAAGCCTCCCCACCTCCTCCTCCTCCCAGAATCACCCCTGGCTGAGAATGAGGCCCAACACTGAGAAGTATGCCCAGTGCAATGCCCCTCCTCCTGAGAAGTATGCCCAGTGCAATATACCTCCTCCTGAGAGGTATGCCGGTGCAGTGCCCCTCCTCCTGAGAGGTATGCCGGTGCAGTGCCCTCCTCCTGAGAGGTATGCCCAGTGCAGTGCCCCTCCTCCTGAGAGGTATGCCCGGTGCAGTGCCCCTCCTCCTGAGAGGTATGCCCAGTGCAGTGCCCTCCTCCTGAGAGGTATGCCCGGTGCAGTGCCCCTCCTCCTGAGAGGTATGCCGGTGCAGTGCCCCTCCTCCTGAGAGGTATGCCGGTGCAGTGCCCCTCCTCCTGAGAGGTATGCCCAGTGCAGTGCCCTTCCTCCTGAGAGGTATGCCTGGTGCAGTGCCCTTCCTCCTGAGAGGTATGCCCAGTGCAGTGCCCCTCCTCCTGAGATGTATGCCCAGTGCAGTGCCCCTCCTCCTGAGAGGTATGCCGGTGCAGTGCCCCTCCTCCTGAGAGGTATGCCCAGTGCAGTGCCCCTCCTCCTGAGAGGTATGCCCGGTGCAGTGCCCCTCCTCCTGAGAGGTATGCCCAGTGCAGTGCCCTTCCTCCGGGCCACTCCTGGAGGCTGCCGAAAGCTGGTTTTGGTTTTTGCTGAAGACTCCAAAGGGGCCCTCAGAAGCTGGGGCCTCCCTGAAGCCCAGGGGCCTTCTTGGGGAGAAACCGTCACTGCGTGAGGGGTGGGCTGCAGGCTCTGTGGAGCGTGGGGCCAGCTGGCTCTGGACCACTGCCAGCAGCTCGTCTGTCATGTGTGCCAGCATCACAAAGCTCCACGTCTTCTTTCTCAGGGTGATCTGGGCTTTTGTAAACTGCATGTCTGAAGAGATTTTTCCACAGCTCCTCTTCCAAATATTGGGATGGAGTTCACACAATCACAGGCCTGATCGCCTGTGAGTTATTACAGAACGTGCTCAAACTTGCAAATCACCCCATTGTTGGCAGCTGAACGGGCAAAGCTTGGAAAGTTTCCACAACGGAACCACACGTTCCAGACTCTCGGTGCGAAGTCCTCAGAGGCTGGGATGCCAAGCACCAGTGATCTTTGGCCACACAAGCTAACGTGTGAATGCGGAACTTCTACTCCAGACTGGACTCAAGAAAGCAGCAGCCAGCCTTGGCGGGTTTGACTCGGCGGTGAGAGTGCCGGCTGCAGACTAAAGGGTCGCAGGTTCGATTCCCAGTCTAGGGCACATACCTGGGTTGCAGGATCAATCCCCAGCCCTGGTCTGGGTTGTGCAGAAGGCAATCAATCGATGTGTCTCTCACAACATTTCTCTCTCTTTCTCTTCCCCTCCCTCCCTTCCATTCCACTCTACCTAACAGTTAATGGAAAAATATTCTCGGGAGAGGATTAACAACAAAAAGCAACAGCCAGAGGTAAAAACACCTGTTTTCTGGAGCCTTCGCATGGTTAGATATAAACCCTGTCCACATGAGAACGATTTTTACATTTCTATCCATTTAAGCGATGCTATAAATGGGAATCAGTGCCCTAAAAAATAAGAAAGGCTTCCAGAAAACAACAAAAACAGTATCCCATCAAGACTGAAGTTCTTGCCCTGGCCGGTTTGGCTCAGCGGTTGGAGCGCTGGCCTGCGGAACAGAGTGTCCCGGGTTCGGTTCCCGCTAGGGGCATGTACCAAAAAAAAAAAAGTTCCTTACTTAAAAAAAAAAGACTGGCCCTGGCCGGTTTGGCTCAGCGGTTAGAGCGTCGGCCTGCGGTCCTGAGAGACAGAGGTTCGGTTCCCGCTAAGGGCGCGTACCTCGGTTGCAGTTTGTCCCTGGCCCTGGTTGGTTGGGCGGGTGGCAGCCACTCGATGTGTCCCTTTCCCATCGATGTTTCTCTCTCTCTCTCTCTGTTCCTCTCTCTCCCTCCCACTCTACCTGAACAAAAAATGGAAAAATGTCCTCGGGTGAGGATAAAAAAAACAAAAACAAAAACAAAAACAAAAAAAAGACTGAAGTTCTTCTATTAAGGAAGAGCCAGAGCCACTCTGTCCACCGACACGGGACTCCATAAGGTGCAGGAAAGAGGAAGCGAAGCCCTTCCTGTTCCCACAGGGACAGCGCACGGAGGCCCAGCGGGCCGGCCCCTCCAGCGCCAGGCAGCACACCCAGCTTGTGGAGGGCGCGGAGGCCCAGCAGGCCGGCCCCTCCAGCGCCAGGCAGCACACCCAGCTTGCGGAGGGCGCGGAGGCCCAGCAGGCCGGCCCCTCCAGCGCCAGGCAGCACACCCAGCTTGTGGAGGGCGCGGAGGCCCAGCAGGCCGGCCCCTCCAGCGCCAGGCAGCACACCCAGCTTGCGGAGGGCGCGGAGGCCCAGCAGGCCGGCCCCTCCAGCGCCAGGCAGCACACCCAGCTTGTGGAGGGCGCGGAGGCCCAGCAGGCCGGCCCCTCCAGCGCCAGGCAGCACACCCAGCTTGCGGAGGGCGCGGAGGCCCAGCAGGCCGGCCCCTCCAGCGTCAGGCAGCACACCCAGCTTGCGGAGGGCGCGGAGGCCGGGGAAGTGGAGCCATTCCTGGTCTGGCTGGACACCGGAAGTAGTTCAGTGTCACTCCAGCACCACGACCTCTAGACCCTGTCTCCCTGCTCGATCCAACACTGCCACCACTGCACTTTATTCTTATTTGCTTATTTATTGTTGAAAGAATCAGATGCCCCTTTTATCCCCCATTGACACCCTCCTTCCCGCTCCCAGCCCCTCCTGCCTTCCCCAACCACTGTATTTTAGAGCAAATCTCAAACACCACATCCCATCATTTCAGCAATCACACCACTAGACACCGTGACCCCTTTCCTGAAAGCGTCATCACAGTGCCACCACTGCACCTGATAAAGCGAATGACTTATCAGTATGGCCCGACACAGCCACCGTCCAGCTTCCTGATGGTCAAAAACACCTTCTCACGGGTGTTTGTCCAAATCAGGAGGCACACACGGCCTGGACATTGCTATAAAACCTCTTAACCGCCCTGGCCGGTTTGGCTCAGCGGTTAGAGCGTCGGCCTGCGGTCCGGAGAGACCCGAGTTCGGTTCCCGCTAGGGGCACGTACTTCGGTTGCAGTTTGTCCCCGGCCCTGGTTGGTCGTGCGGTGGCAGCCACTCGATGTGTCCCTTTCACATCGATGTTTCTCTCTATCTCTTCCTCTCTCTCCCTCCCACTCTATCTGTACAAAAAAAATGGAGGAATGTCCTTGGGTGAGGATTAAAAAAAAAACACAAAAACCTCTTAACCTGTAACAGTTCCCCCTTTTTGTTTCCCAATTAGCCACTTGTTGAAACTGGATGAGTGTCCCGTAGAATTCCCAACATTCTGGGAGAGCATCTTTAGGCCAGCACTGTGAACACGGTCTCCTGGGACCCCTCACGCCCACACTATCCCCTTCTCCTGTAAACTGGAGCTCAACTGGGAGGCCTGCTGGGCTCGGGGTCTGCTTCTGGCAAGAACCCACAGCAAGGGCAGCCGGCCCCCTCAGTGCGGATCAGCCTGACCACCCACTGCGAGGTCCCATCGGCTTTCCCCGTGTGGGGTTGGAGGGTTGGAAGATGGACGATTTGTAACCTTGTGTTAATGCATTCTCGCTATCTGGCCAGCTCAGGGCAATTGACTGCTTCATTTGCATGTGAATAAGATAAGGTTTGCAAGGGTGGACTAATGGGTCCTAGGACTCAAGAATGTCTGTTTGTTCTCTCTTTCCGCTGTAAAAAGCTAGAGACAAAACTAGGCTGTATAGTTTAGAGACACCATCTCAAGGAAATAATTTACATGAATCCACTTGTAACCTGGGGGTACCAATCTGCAAATAAATGGGACTGAGTCCTAAAATCTGGAGCATTTGCTACCTTGGAAACTCCTCCTCACTCCAAGCTGCGTGAGCTTGTAGTTTCATTGTGTTGCACCAATCCCAGCAGGCCAAGAGACAGCAAGGGGTCAGAGATGGCAAGTGGTGACCCCGTGATTAGGGTATGCAGCGGCGAGATTGGACAAGACCAGCAAGTGGTGACGCAGCAGTGAGACGAAGCAGTGAGATTCGAAGTGATCAGCAAGTGGTGATGCAGTGGTGAGATTCAACAGGACCAGCAAGTGGTGATGCAGCACCAGCAGCAGCATAACGGTATGCCTCACGGTATGCGAAAGGGAATGAGCAATCCGGGTCCAAAGTAAACTTCACTCACTCGAGAAAGAGTATTCTCGAGCCAGCGGCGCGGCTTGGGACAGCTGCCAGCATATCTAGTGTTGTGAGGGGTTTTCAGTAAGCAGCATGGGGTCAGGATTTACAGCGTTGCAGCAGCTGACTCAGGAGATCAGTCCCAGCATTGAGGTGAGGCGGCTCCAACCTCCTCTTCGGGAGGAAACTCTGGAGCCCCCCTCCCCATGGTCACCAAAGGAGGAAAGTTCCCCTTCCCCTCCTCCACCTTTTAAAGAATTCAGGCAAAGCATAAAGGAGAATGGTTTGCAAAGTTCCTTTACTATAGAAATGTTGGAGGGAATAACTGGTGGTTATCTGATGACTCCCTGGGTTTGGACGGGCTAGTAAAAACAGTGTTGACACCGCACAATTCACCGTGTGGAAGTTCAAATGGAGGGTTGGAGACCTCCCAGCCTCCATGGCAAGAAGTACCGGCCTGGATCTTATCACCACCACAGAATTAACCCTTAAGGATTCTGATGATGTTTGTTTAGTTCCTACAGGAGTATGGCCCCTTGCCAGAGGGGAAAGTAGGGCTAGTGATTGCAAGGTCTAGTTTAACAATAAAAGGAATACAGGTGATGCCAGGAGTAACTGACTCAGATTTTGAAGGAGAAATTAAAGTAATGCTTAAGGCTGTGTGCTTTCATGTATTAACACCGGGAACCCGAATAGCTCTTCTTTTGTTACCCTACTGGGTTCCTGGAGCCACCTCCACAATAAGAGGGATTGCAGGGTTTGGGAGCACTGGTCGATGTGATGTTCTCTGGACTGCGGCTATTAACACCCAAAAGTCCTTGCTCTCCATTAACATACAAGGGCAACTATTTTTTTTTTTAGTACGTGCCCCTGGTGGGAACCGAACCCGGAACTCTCTAGTCCGCAGGCCAACACTCCACCACTGAGTCAAACTGGCCAGGGCACAAGGGCAACTGTTTTCAGGATTAGTGGACACAGGGGCAGACATTTCTATTATAACAACATGGGAATGGCCTAAAGCCCCAGTACCCCTGCTAGTAACAGGAGTGGGAGGAACTCAAGCTCCTCAGCAAAGGACTCGCTCCCTTTCCTGTACAGGTCCAGATGGACAAAAAGGATGGATTCAACCTTATGTCATGAAGTCTCCCCTAAATTTGTGGGGAAGGGATCTTCTCTCTCAGTGAGGAATGGTTGGTTATTCAAACCCAGCCTTTTGGCTAGGGGTCACTGGTAAAATTCCCCTCCTTTCACTGGCCTGGAAGACAACAGAGCCAGTGTGGGTTGATCAGTGGCCCTTAAAAGGGGAAAAATTGTTACATGCAAACAGATTAGTGAAAGAGCAATGAGAAGCAGGTCATAGAGACCCTTCAGTCAGTCCCTGGAACACTCCCAATAATTCCTAATAAAGATGTAAAATGGAGATTACTACATGATTTGAGGGCAATCAATGCTATTATAAATCTAATAGCCAAAGATAGAAAAAGAACACAAAAACTGACAGGGTATGACTCTCAGATTCTACATTTGCCTCTTACTCGAGAACAATTTACCACTTTGATTTCCCAGGCAATAGACTTTCAAATAGCCTAGCAGATTTCATTGGAGAAATCAATTACTCTCTTCCAGCAAATAAATTCTTGCAAAATATTCCTCAGTTACACCTTAACCTGGTGCAAAAAATCAGTAATACCCCATTACCTGGGGCTAGAACTGTATTCATCGATGGATCAGGTAAGTCTCACAAAGCAGGAGTAGCCTCGAAAGAACATGAGGAGTGGAGAACTATCAGCAGCCTTGAGCCTGGGTCAACTCAGCCTGCTGAATTACGGGCTGCCGTATCAGCCCTTCAACATTTTACAGAAGAGCCCTTAAATATAGTTAGTGATTCACAGTATGTAGTTAAAGTGTTACAAAGATTAGAACAAGGCTTTATTAAGCCTTTAACTGATCAACATCTATTAACCTTATTTTTGTCTCTCCAAGCTTTAGTAGAGCAACAAAATCATCCTATTTTTATAACCCACATTCAATCTCATTCCACACTCCCTGGACCTTTAACACAAGGAAATCAATAGGCGGAGGCCATCCTAGCAACATTCCCGCCCAGTGAATCTAGCAGCTGGGCGTGGGTGAGTGCTGCCCAGACCCATTACTAGGAAAAGGTAACTTTCTGGGTCCATCATGCCTCTACATCGGCTGTCACTGCCTGTCAGCACCTACACAGAAAAGTGCCCCTGCACCTGGTGCACCTGAAGCCGTGCCCGGTGAGCCCGAGGTGCAGTCAGCGCAGGAGGTAGGGCAGACGATGCTCTTTGGATTTTCCCCTTTATTTTGTCAATTTTCAAAACCGTGAGTTGACTGCCTAGCAATCCCAGAGGTGACCTGAGAGCCTGTCAGAATCTTTGATTGCAAAGATGTTTGTACATTTGAGATATATATATATTTTAATGTTGTCATTGATTATTTAGAGGGAGATAGAAATATGGATGAGAGAGAAACATCGATTGGCTGCCTCCTACTGGGAATTACGCCCACAACCTAGGCATGTGCCCTGACCGGGAATCAAACAGGGACCTCTCAGTCCATGGGATGACACTCAATCCATGGGCCACACCAGCCAGGCTATGTGATATATTTTTAATCCAGTGAGGTCATTTTCTTTGGCGCCTGAAATGGCTTCATCTCCGGCCCATGGGAGCCCCTCCCAGTGGCTCCTGTGCTGGTGTAACATGACATCCCTGGCCTCGGAGCCTCCTTGCGTTCAGACCCGAGATATCTCAACTCCTATGCTGTTCTTCCCTGAACAGGCTTCTCCAAGGAGCCCAGGTCCGCTCAGTGGGAATGTCCAAGCCTAGGGGTGCAGACTGCTAAGGGGCTGCCATGCAAATAACTCTAAGCTGTCAATCTTATTTAAAACTGCAAACACAGCCCAGCCGGTGTGGCTCAGTGGACTGAGCATTGTCCCATGGACTGAGATAACCTGGTTCGAGTCCTGGTCAGGGCACAGGCCTGGATTGTGGGCTCGATCACCAGTAGAAGACGTGCAGGAGGTGGTAGATCGATGTATCTCTCTCATCCATGCTTCTCTTTCTCTCTAAAAAAAATAAAAATAAAAAATAAATTGCCCTGGCTGGTTTGGCTCAGCAGTTAGAGCTTCGGCCTGCGGATCAATGAGTCATGAGTTCGAGTCCGACAAGGGCACGTATCTCGGTTGCAGTTCATCCCCAGCCCTGGTTGGGTTTATGCGGGAGGCAACAAGTCGATGTGGTTCTATCACATTGATGTTTCTCTCTGTCTCTCTCTCCCTTCTTCCCTCCCACTCTATCTGATGATAAATGGAAAAATATGCTCGTGTGAGGAAAAAAAATCAATACAACTGCAAATACTAAGTTTACAGCAACATTTACCTTTAACATAAACATGAGTGTCATTAGACTCAGGTCAGAAAATAATCCTACCCAACATGGATGTGACAGCCAAATTTCTAGGCAAAAACAAAACACTTACCTATTATAATACATGTGCTTCTGAAAATTTTTACTTAAAAATTCCTTGTAAAAGTCAGCCATTTCTTCTGCATTCAATGTTGCTTTTTGACCTGAAAATAAATTTCAACTTATCAAACAAAGGAACCCACAAATAACTATTGATCTAAAACACGAATTTAGCAAAGTTACAGGATATAAGATCAATATACAAATGTTAACTGTATTTCTTTACACCAGCAATAAACAATCTGAAAATGAAGTTAAAAATACAAATAAAAGTCCTGGCCGGATTGGCTCAGCAGTTAGAGCATCAGCACACAGACTAATGAGTCGTGGGTTCAATTCTGGTCAAGGGCATATACCTCGGTTTCGGTTTGTCCCGGCCCTGGTTGGGTCGTGTGTGAGGCAACCAGTCAATATGTCTTTCTCACATTGATGTTTCTCTCTCCCCCTTCCCTTTCTTTCTCTCTCTTTCTCCCTCTCTCCCTCCCATTCTATCTGATGATAAACGGAAAAATATCCTCGGGTGAGGACTAAAACAACAAAATTCCATTTACAAAAGCAAAAGAATAAAAGATGTAGGAGTAAATTTAAGAGAGGAAGTGTAGCCCTGGCAGGTTTGACTTAACAATGAGCGCATCGGCCCGCAGAACAATGACTCTTGAGTTCGACTCTGGTCAACGGCACATACCCTGGAGGAGGTTCGTCCCTGGCCCTGGCTGGGGTGTGTAGGAGGCAACCAGTCGATGTGTCCCTCTCTCGCACTCACGCTTCTCCTTCTCTTCCTCCCTCCCTCTCTCCCCCTCCCACTCTATCTGATGATAAAACAGAAAAATAGCCTCAGATGAGGATTAAAAAAAAAAGAGAGGCCCTGGCCAGTTTTGCTCAGCGGTTAGAGCGTAGATCTGCAGACCAGAGAGTCCTGGGTTCGGTTCCTGCTAAGGGAATGTACCTCGGTTGCAGATTGTCCCCCACCCCAGCTGGGGTCGTGTGGGTGGCAACCACTCGATGTGTCCCTCTCACGTCTATGTTTCTGTCTCTTTCTCTTCCTCCTTCTCTCTCCCATTCTGAAGAGAAAGGGAAAAAAAAAAAAAAAGGAGGGAAGGCCAGTCCACTGAAACTACAAAACACAGCTGAGAGAAATGAAAGGAGACCCGAGTGAGTGGAGAGACACCCCACTTTCTTGCTTTTGAAGACTTAACACTGCTTGTTTGCTGGTGGCCTTGCCCTCCAGTACAGCGTCTGCTCCTCAACAGCTGTCGCGCCCACCTCATCCCAGCACCTAGCCTGGTCTGTGGCAGATGTCTGGTAAATGCATCAAGTGAGCCCTGGCCGGTTTGGCTCAGTGGATAGAGCATCAGCCTGCAGTCCAGAGAGACCCGGGTTCGGTTCCCGCTAAGGGCATGTACCTCGGTTGCAGTTTGTCCCCGGCCCTGGTTGAGGTCGTGTGGGTGGCGACTTGTCGATGTGTCTCTCTCACATCAATGTTTTCCTCTCTCTCTTCCCCAATCTGTCCCTCCTGCTCTATATGAAGATAAAAGAAAAAAAAAAAGTCCTCAGGTGAGGATAAAAAAATGAATGAGTGAATGAGTGAGGGAGTGAGTAAATGACGGAGTGAGTGAATGACTGAGTGAGGGAATGAGTGAGGGAATGAATGAGTGAGTGAGGGAGTGAGTGAGGGAATGAATGAGTGAGTGAGGGAATGAGTGAGTGAATGAGTGAGGGAATGAGTGAGTGAATGAATGAGTGAGGGAGGGAGGGAATGAGTGAGTGAGTGAGGGAATGAGTGAGTGAATGAGTGAGGGAATGAATGAGTGAGGGAGTGAGTGAGGGAATAAATGAGGGAGTGAGTGAATGAGTGAGGGAATGAGTGAGAGAATGAATGAGTGAATGAATGAGGGAATGAGTGAGGGAATGAGTGAGGGAATGAGTGAGGGAATGAATGAGTGAGTGAGGGAGTGAGGGAATGAGTGAGTGAGGGAATGAGTGAATGAGTGAGTGAATGAGTGAGGGAATGAGTGAGTGAGGGAGTGAGTGAGGGAATGAATGAGTGAGGGAGTGAGTGAGGGAATGAATGAGTGAGGGAATGAGTGAGAGAATGAATGAGTGAATGAATGAGGGAATGAGTGAGGGAATGAGTGAGGGAATGAATGAGTGAGTGAGGGAATGAGGGAGTGAGGGAATGAGTGAGTGAGGGAATGAGTGAATGAGTGAGTGAATGAGTGAGGGAATGAATGAGTGAGGGAGTGAGTGAGGGAATGAATGAGTGAGGGAGTGAGTGAGGGAATGAATGAGGGATGGAGGGAGTGAATGAGGGAATGAGTGAGTGAATGAGTGAGGGAGTAAGGGAATGAGTGAGTGAGGGAGTGAGTGAGGGAATGAGTGAGTGAATGAGTGAGTGAGGGAATGAGTGAGGGAGTGAGTGAATGAATGAGTGAGGGAGGGAGGGAGTGAATGAGGGAATGAGTGAGTGAATGAGTGAGGGAGTGAAGGAATGAGTGAGTGAGGGAGTGAGTGAGGAAATGAGTGAGGGAGGGAATGAGTGAGTGAATGAGTGAGTGAGTGAGTGAATGAGTGAGGGAATGAGTGAGTGAGGGAATGAGTGAGGGAATGAGTGAGTGAGTGAATGAGTGAGGGAGTGAGTGAATGAATGAGGGAGGGAGGGAGTGAATGAAGGAATGAGTGAGTGAATGAGTGAGGGAGTGAAGGAATGAGTGAGTGAGGGAGTGAGTGAGGAAATGAGTGAGTGAGGAAATGAGTGAGGGAGGGAATGAGTGAGTGAATGAGTGAGTGAGTGAGTGAATGAGTGAGGGAATGAGTGAGTGAGGGAATGAATGAGTGAATGAGTGAAGGAATGAGTGAGGGAATGAATGAGTGAGTGAGTGAATGAATGAGTGAGTGAATGAGTGAGTGAATGAATGAGTGAGTGAATGAGTGAGGGAGTGAGGGAATGAGTGAGTGAGGGAATGAATGAATGAGGGAGGGAATGAGTGAGTGAGGGAATGAATGAGTGAGTGAGGGAGTGAGTGAATGAATGAGTGAGTGAGTGAATGAGTGAGGGAATGAGTGAATGAATGAGTGAGTGAGGGAGTGAGTGAGGAAATGAGTGAGGGAGGGAATGAGTGAGTGAATGAGTGAGGGAGTGAGTGAATGAGTGAGGGAATGAGTGAGTGAGGGAATGAATGAGTGAATGAGTGAGGGAATGAGTGAGTGAGGGAATGAATGAGGGAGTGAGTGAATGAATGAGTGAGTGAATGAGTGAGGGAATGAGTGAGTGAATGAGTGAGGGAGTGAGTGAATGAGTGAGGGAATGAAATGAGTGAGGGAATGAATGAGTGAGGGAGGGAGTGAATGAGTGAGAGTGAATGAGTGAAGAAATGAATAAGTGAGGGAATGAATGAGTGAGTGAGGGAAGGAATGAGGGGATGAATGAGTGAGTGAGTGAATGAATGAACATGGCCCCAAGAGCATACTTCCTGAGGCCGCTCTGAGACATCTGAGTCCTAGCCAGGACAGGGGTGGGACAGGGTGGGACCGGCTGGCACAGAAGCCCTCGCTCCAGGCTGGCAAAACAGCAGAAGCCCCAGGTTCTACCGACAGGTTGGTGCCACCTTCAGACCTCAGTCTAGTTGGTATCTTGCCCGAACTGCCCCAGGCTGTCACTCACTAGAAAGTGGAAGCACCACCCTGGCCGGTCTGGTTCAGCGGTTAGAGCATTGGCCTGCGGACCAGAGAGTCCTGGGTTCGGCTCCTGCTAGGAGCATGTACCTCGGTTGCAGTTTGGCCCCGGCCCCGGATGGGGTCGTCTGGGTGGCAACCACTCGATGTGTCTCTCACATTGATGTTTCTCTCTCTCTCTTCTTCCCTCTCCCCCTTTCCCTCTATCTGAAGATAAATGCAAAAATACCCTCAGGTGAGGATTAAAAATTATAAAAGGAAGTAGAAGTGCCATAAAAATTGGCTAATCCCCATTTCACACCTGTGGATGGTGCTAGAGTGAACCTCAGAGTGAAATTATGTAAAAAAAAATAAGCACAGGAACATTCGAGATCTTGATTCCTGGATATTTCGTCAGTTTGGCTCAACTAAACTCATAAAAATTCCTTTTAAGCCCAGCCGTTGTGGCTCGCAGGTTCCACTCCTGGTCAGGGCACATGCCCAGGTTGTGTGCCCAGTCCCCAGTGGGGAACGTACAGGAGGCAGCAGGCGGCCAATTGATGTTCTCTCTCATCCATGTTTCTTTCTCTCTCTCTCCTTCTTCCTCTCAAATCAGTAAAGAAAAAAAAATTCCCTTTAAAAAAAAAAGAGAGCCCTGGCCAGGTAGCTCTGTTGATTAGAGCATCATCCCAATTATGCCAAGGTTGCAGGTTCAGTTCCCGGTCAGGGCACATACAAGAATCATTCAATAGCTCTGGTCGATTTTGCTCAGTGGTTAGAGCATGTACCTGGTTGTGGTTCAGTCCCCAGCCCTGGTTGGGGTCATGCAGGAGGCAACCAATAGATCTCTCTCCAGATAATTAGGAAAAATGTATCCTCAGGTGAGGATTGAAGAAAAAAAAAATCAACCAATGAAAGCATAAATTATAAGTGGAACAAAAAATTAATGTTTCTCTCTAAAATCAATAAACAATTTTTAAGATTTTTTCTTTATTGACTTTAGAGAGAGAGGAAGGGAGAGGGAAAGAGAGACAGAAACATCAATGACAGAGAACATTGATTGGCCGCCTCCTGCATGCCCCTCACTGGGGATTGGGCCCACAACCTGGGCATGTGCCCTGACCGGGAATTGAACTGGCGACTTCGTTGTACATGGGCTGATGCTCAACCACTGAGCCACACTGGTCAGGCAATAAGTAAATTGTTTAAAAAAGCAAGAGAGGGGGAACAGTAATTCATGACACATTTACTGGAAGCAGGTGGCGTTTCAGAAATGCCATCTGGCCTGGAGCAGCCTGGTCTCAAGGGCACCCTTTCCTCCACTGCACAGACACGTCAGCCACAGTGCTAGCCAGAGGCGAGACTTCCCAGGATCACCCGACCCACAGACGAGATTTAATCTGGGACAGGCAGCACTGGCCACGGTATTCCGCTGTTTGCACCTGAAATTAAGCCAATGACTCTCCTCCACTACTTGGTCATCCCAGCGGACACACCACGGGTGGGCCACCACAGCCTCAGTGAACCGCCACCACTGGGTATCAGACACTCCCCATACTTTCACGATGAAAGATAACACTACAAGGAACACAGCTAACTCTTCCCACGGTTCCTCTTGGCTTATTGTACTGAGTGCAGCTAAAGCCTCTGGAAAGGGGCTGAACGTTTTCCATGCCGGCCTCTGTGAGCCGGCACACAGCCCTGTGAGCGCGACAGGCAGGGATGACGTCTGGGTCTGCTTCAACCACACTGCGAGAGCGAGGGTTTGAGCAACTGTTCTCCTTGTGGTCACGTTGCCCATCCACAAGGGTTTTGCTATTTCTTTTTTTTTAATCCTCACCAGATGATATTTTTTCCATTGATTTTTAGAGAGTGGAAGAGAGGCAGGGAGGGAGAGAGGATGAGAGGGAGAGAGAGACATCGACTGGCTGCCTCCCGATGCACCCTTATCGGAGCCAGGGAATGAAATCTGCAACCCAAATATGCGCCCTTGACTGGGAATTGAACCCGAGACCCTTCAGGGCACAGGCTGATGCTCTAACCACTGACCACACCAGACAGGGAGGTGTTTTGCTATTTCCATACAAGTGCTAGGCTTTTCATAAAGTCCAGGCTGCCCCTCCTCTCTGCTGCCCGCGCCTACCAGCTCTTCCCGATGAACTCATCTCCTGGACTGACTTTTGTCTGCCTGGCCTCCACCCCCTGGTTTGTCAGGCGTGTGCTCGCACCACATCCAGCTCCATTTCCATGGCAGCAGCCACGCCCATTCTACACAACCCCCACCCTTGGGCCTCTGCTGCCCAGGGCACCACCACACTGGCCTGACCCCCAGGACAGCCTCAGGCTGGCTGCTTCCTCACACTTGGGAGCAAAGCAAAGAAGGCTAACAGTTGTGGCAGAGGCCGAAACATGAGGACCTGGTGTCCGGGGCTCCCTGTGGTGCCAGGTCAGAGGCAGGCCAAGCTGGTCCTGGGTGGCCCCAGCAAACTCCCTCACAGACAGACAGAGCAAAGGGAGTTGTCCCTAACACAGTGTTCCTCCCAAGAACACAGTTTACTGTTAGGCTTCCTACAACCAGGAATTACGGGCTTAATCCATGAATAACTAACTTAATTAACTTTTTCATCCACTTGGAATGTATTTGTATTATAGGGGGCATGGATCTAAATTTATTCTTTTGGGCCAAAAGTAGCAGCATGTATTACACAAATCTCTGCTCCCCCACTCATGCAGAACCCCTGCACTCCCGCCTCAGGCGGGTCGTCTGGCCCACTGAGTGACGAGCTTGTTACCCCCCACACACACACTTCTGTCCCGCAGCCTGGCAACTGTTTCAACAGCCGACAGATCGGGCATTCTTCACTTCCTGTGTCCTTTCTGAAATACGGTCTCTCCTGCTTTACTACCAGATTATCCTTAAATCGAATTTACAGCCAGCCGCTCGGCACTGTGATCAGAGTAGCTCTGTGGTATTGTTAGCAAGACTCAAAACGACCTCTCCAACCTGCTCAGATTGGTTTATCTCCAAAGCAGTTCCACGCAGGAGCCCCCCGACCCTACCTGATCCTGACCACAGACCTGGAGGCGGGCAGCCTACCTGAAGGATGCGGGTCTGCAGCTCATGCAGCCGCAGGCCTGGCTCCTCGGCTCACCACCATGGTGGGTGAGCTGAGCCGCTGGGCTCGAGCGGGCCTCTGGAGCCCAACCCTCCAGGCCAGAGCCCAGGCCCTCTGCTCACTCATTCACTGTGTAATTTTGGTTAAATAACTTGCCCTCACCTGTAACTGTTTTGTAAAAGTAACAGTACCTCCTTCACTGGTACCCGCAGAAAATAAAACTGATATATGGGCAAAGGACTCAGTGCAATGCCTGGCATAGACAGGACCGAAACTGTCTCTCCATGCTGTCCCGTCACAGCGCCACCCAGCTGGCTACAGCCCTCCAAGACTTGCCCACAGTGGGCCCTGCGGCCGACAGCAAACGATGGAGCCCAGCACGGGTCATGCCATGTCCCTTGCCCTTTACCTAGGAACCCAGGTGAGGCTGAGGACTAGCAGGGAAATGCCAGTGCCTTAGCCCAGTGGCCAACCTGGCTTTTGGAGTCAATGGCTTCAGATTTCTCACCAGAGTATTTTGACAGTGGACATCTGTGTAACACACAGCTCCATCTGTTTAGCATGGAACATTACTCAGGCCTAAATCAACAGCAGAACGTGATTCAAAGTTGTTTTGAGCACTAGACTGTGTGTGGAGGAGGCCAGCACAGTGGGCAGAGGGAACCTGGCACAGTCAGCATCCGTGGCTCATCAAGGCAGGGCATGGAGGATGGACACAAAGGGGGGACTCGGGGACAGACAGGGGGTACCCAGATGTCATTCTGCAGTCACGGGGGCCTAAAACCTAAGCTGAGCAGCAACTGTCAGATTTGGTTGTGGGCAGAACAGCCTGGCAAAGCTGCCAAGAACAGATCTCGGGTGGAGCTGAGGACAGCGGCCCCTACATCCTGCCCATCGCGTAGGTGTTTTCTGCGGCTGCTTTCACACAGCCGCACAGCTGAGGCGGCGGAGCAGACTCCCTGGGGCCCACGAGGGCTCATCTCCCACGCAGCTGTTCACAGGAAACGCTCGCCGACTCTGACCTAAGACTGCAGGCCAAGGAACCAAGGAGCACGTTACCGCGGCAGCAGAGAACAGTCTGGACTAGGGAGGACAGGCAGGGAGTGCCAAGTGCCGTGGATGTCGAGGGCACCTGCGTGAGAGGAAGGCCGGGAGAGACTTTGAGAGTGACGTCCTGCTTTCCACTCGTGGGAGCCATGGGACCACGACCGAGACCAGGAGCTGGTGTAGGAGGGCCGGAGGGCCGACCTCACCCACAGAGAGAAGAGGGAGCAGGAGGGCAGACAGCGGTCCCACTGAGCACCTCAGAGCGCCTGCCCCACGGCGCCGTGACTCGGCCCCTGAACTTTCTCTCCTTTTCATCTCCTCATGCAGTTGCTTAAACAAGAAAGAGAACCATCGAACTAACCTGATTCAGCTCTCGGTCCCAGGCCTTTCGCTTCTAATCTTGAGTGAATAAATTCTTCTTTTTCCTGTAAGAAGACAACTCTCAGAACCCCCTTTCTGTCTTCCTGTTCCTCCCCGGCCGGGACACAGCTCACAGTGTTCTGGAGAAGCCTGGTGTGGCTTTCCTGAGAAAAGGCCTCTCGGGGCCTGTTTTCAACCAGGGCTGAGATCTGGGTAAAAGTTTTGTGCTTGAAACAGGATTTGAAAATGAGCTGTCCAGGAAACTTTGGGAGGCACTGTTTGTTTACGAATCCACAAAATAAGATAAACACGCTCCATTGACTTAGCCCACTCAAACGATACACACGGAAACTGAACGCTCGTCTTCTAAACTAGAATGTTCACACTCTTTCTCATATAGTTTATTTACGATTACGCTGTTAAGGACTCTAAATTCTCAAGAAGAATGACACCATATCTCTCAGAAACTCACGTTTTCGTAAACGTAAACACACAGACACCTGGACTCAGTCCTCATCTAACGTTGTCCATAGTTTCTTGGAAACAACGTATACATAACTAGACCAATTTTGCCATAGGCTAGTTGATATAAACAAGAGTTAAGCCCTGCCTGGTTTGACTCAGTGGTTAGAGGGTCAGCTCATGGACCAAAGAGTCGCAGGTTCGATTCCAGTCAAGAGCATGTACCTCGGTTGCAGTTCAGTCCCCGGCCCTGGTCAGGGTCATGTGGGAGGCAGCCAGTCGATGTGTCTCTCACATTGATGTCTCTCTCTCTCCCTCCCTCCTTTCCACTCAATCTGAAGATAAATGGAAAAAAATATCCTCGGGTGAGGATTAAATAAATAAATAGATAAAAAATAAATAGGAGTTAAATTCCTAGGGTATCCCATCTGTGTTACAAGGAAAAGACACTGAACCAAAAGCTTCCAGAATGTGCGGTAACTGAAAGGCGAAGCAAACGCTAGAGACTTAGCGCCCCCATGTGGCCGCCTGTGTTATTGCTCTTCCTGACGTGACACCTAAACTTACCTTGCGGAAAGTCAGATTCTGTTTGGCCCAGAACTGTTGGTTCCATTCTTGCGTTTCTTGTCTTAGTTCTCTGAGCTTTTGTTCCGATGGTGATTCGTCTTCAGGGACATAAAAGTGAATGGGTCGAAGGTTTGAATATTTATCTGGGGGTCCTATCCAGTCATGGCAAGACTTCCTTGGAGGACAGAACCTCGAGACCTTGAACAAAATGCACAGGGTTAACATGCAACTAAACGAATCTCTAGTGTTGTAAAAGGAACAGTCCAGGTTGGTGCAAGTCCCTCATTAGTGTCCTCTTTTTAGCTCAGTGGCTGAGCATCTACCCATGGACCAAGAGGCCACTGGTTCGATTCCCAGTCAGGGTACATGCCTGGGTTGTGGACCTGATCCCCAGTGGGGAGCAGGAGGCAGCCAATCGATGTTCTCTCTCATAGATGTCTCTCTCCCTCTCCCTCTCCTTTCCTCTCTCTTTAAATTCAATAAAGAAAAAAAATGTTTTAATCAATAAAGAATATTATATATAAAAAAAGACACTCTGACCCTGGCTGGTTTGGCTCAGCGGCTGGAGCTTCAGCCTGTGGACCAGAGAGTTCCGGGTTTGGTTCCTGCTAGGGGCACGTACCAGAAAAACAGACACTCTGAAGAAAGTGAAGACAAACCCCACACTGAAGAAAATATATGCAACTCTGGAGAAGGTCTTGTTCCCAGAATATATAAACACTTCTCAAAACACAAAAATAAGAACACAGACAAGCCAATTAAAAAATGGGCTTTTTCTCCCCTCCCCCCTTTTTTGAATGGAAGGGTGCCTGTTAAGATTAAAATTAGATATGTTGGATTGATATTCTCACGTGTTCAGTGTGGAAAACAAAACAAGTACATGCTTTAGAGGCAACAACAATGAAATCTTTTTGAAATGTGTATTATCACTTAATAAAATAACTAGTTCTAAAAAAAATGGGCAAAATATCTAAATACACATTCCTCTGAAGATATAGAGAGAGCAAATAAAACATGTTTAACATCAATAATCATTAGGGAAATGCGAATCAAAACCTCAGTGAAAAAAACATTTTAACAGCCCCAGTGAGAGCCCTGGCTGGTGGCGCAGTGGCAGAGCACCGGCCTGTGCAGGAGGCAGAAGGTCCCAGCCGATGTGCCGTCTGCCTGTTCTGCCCCTTCCAGAGCTGCACCATCTTTTCTTCTCACAGGGCCCCTACCAGGAAATGTTCAAGGAGCCCTCCCAACAATTCCCAGCTGTCCCAGCTACCGCACACCACAAAGGAAGCTCGGAGGCACCGGAGGCTAGTGACTTTCCAGATTCATCTCCTAGCTCCTGCTGAGACACTGCTTTACAGGTGAACTCTGGGAAGGACTCCAGTAGTCCTATGTTCCATTATAACTTGAGATCTGAGCTCGACTGTTGCAGAGGAACCTCCTCTGTGCTCCCCTATAAAAAGATCATCTTTGTTTGCCCAAGAACTGCTATTTAAAAGGGAAAAGGGACTTGAGGGAGGAATAAGTCCTTTTGTAAAAGGAAAAAACCCCTTTGAAGTTTGAATAATTCCTGTAATTTATGGTTCTTACAGCATAAGCATCTTATACTTAAGCGTGGAGCGGCAGGGAGGAGGGCAGGGTCTCGGAGACGGGGCATGCTGGAACCTAACAGTTTCCTCCTCCTTGAGGCCCGGGGCATGTTCCTACCTGCCAGACTGTGCTTCTGTTACCTTGTCTGAGGGAGCTAACCTTCCAGTATAAACTGCCAGGCTGGGCAGCCTCACACTGGGCTTCTCCCTGTGCAGCCCCACAGCCTGGCCTGGCTCCCATCCCGTCCCTCTGCTCTACTGAAGGTTCCTGAGGTCTTCCAGCACACGCCCACCTGGGCCACCCCTCTAGTGGCCAGGACTTAGCGGAGACCTTTCCCCAACACCCTCTTTCCCACAAGTGCCGTACACAACACACATCACATCTGAGTATGGTCGCATTGCCGGCCACTGGGAAAGCCACCAGGCCACGATGAGAGGAACAAAACCAGGCACGACTTAGTGTTCCTGCAGGTGTTCTTGGTCTACAGTCCCACTCCTCTGAGATGGGAACTGAAAGTCTTTTCCCCCTGGAGGGTGGAGACCCCAGCCTCCTATCCTACCAGATGCCGGACAAATCAGCGCACCACAGAAAAGGACCAGTATGTCAGAACCCAGAGTGCTTTATGTAAGGAGAACCAGGTTGGTTTGGCGTCAGAAAGCAATCAATCAGCCCTGGTCGGTTTGGCTCAGCGGTTAGAGCGTTGGCCTGCGGTCCAGAGAGACCCGGGTTCGGTTCCCACTAAGGGCACGTACCTCGCTTGCAGTTTGTCCCCGGCCCTGGTTGGTCGTGCAGGTGGCAGCCACTCGATGTGTCCCTTTCACATTGATGTTTCTCTCTCTCCCACTCTATCTGTACAAAAAATGGAAAAATGTCCTCGGGTGAGGATGAAAAAAAAAAAGAAAGCGATCAATCAGATGGAAGAACACACCACCAAATAAGTAGTCCTCCCGCCCCCCCCAAAAGTCAGCTCTGGCAGGTTTGGCTCAGCAATTAGAGCGTTGGCCTGCAGACCAAAGAGTCCCGGGTTCAATTCCAGCCAAGGGCACGTACTTTTTTGCGGTTAATGTCCAGCCCCAGTTGGGGTCGTGTGGGTGGCAACCAGTCGATGTGTCTCTCTCGTGGGTGTTTCTCCCTCCCTTCCTCCCACGCTATCTGAAGATAAATGGACAAATATCCTCGGGTGAGGATTGAAAAAAAAGGGCTGTGGGTTCCATCCCCAGTTGGGCACATACAGGAGGCAATTCTGAGAATTCACTAAGCTAAAATGTGTAAAACACTCAGAACAGTACATGCAAGTGCTCAGTAAATGCTGACTATCAGTATAAATGTCAGTGAAACTAAGGACAAGCAACTACGAATGCATGTATTGTAACCACTGGTACTCTAACTTGAGAGCTTTGTGGCTCCGTGGTTGGGCACTGTACCAGGTCACCGTTCCAGGTCAGGGCAAATACCTGGGTTTCAGACTCGATCCCCAGTAGGAGGCATGCAGGAGGCAGCTGATGGATGTTTCTCTCTCTCTCCCCCTCTCCCTTCTTCCCTCTGAAATCAATAAAAACAATAAACCCAACGATATAAACTACATAGATAAGGAATAAGCAGGTAGGAAGTAACTGGAGGACACTTCATTAAGAGCCGAGTTTCTAAGCTGGGTTTGGAAGGAAAAGGGTATTCTGTAATACATTTCTATTAAATAAACAGGGGCCTAGAGATCAGAGATGGGTATCAAAAGTGCAGGTCCTAAAAGCAGTGCTCCTTAACTCAGGGGAAGGACAAGAATGAATGAAAACTATGTAGAGTGAACTACACACATGGGGTTAAAGTGTATCTATTCAGACAAAGAAAACAAAAGAATTATGACCTGTTACTTTTTTTTTTTTATCCTCTCCCGAGGACATTTTTGTATTCATCTTCAGATAGAGCAGGAGGGAGAGAGAGAGAAACATGGATGTGAGAGAGACACATTGTCGAGTGGCTGCCACCCACACAACCCCACCGGGGCAAGGGACAAACTGCAACCAAGGTACGTGCCCTTAGTGGGAACCAAACTCCGGACTCTGCGGGCCAACGCTCTAACCACTGAGCCAAACTGGCCAGGGCATGACCTGTTACTTTTAAGAAGACCTGATATTTAAGATCAAAGCCTGAAAGACAACAATCTCTGGGTGCTGCAGGAATTTAATTACCCGTCAGGAAGCACACGAAGATGGGACCACACACAGGAAACATCAGCCGCCTTGGGCGAGAACTGTTCTTTTCCACCCATGGATATCTAGCATAATGGGGCTCACATCCTAAACACCACCACCAGTCATAATGCTAGACCTGGGCAAGGTCTGACTCATGGGTCAGCTGCTCCACTTCTCGGCATCATCACAATCATCACCTTTGCAGGATTATCCGCCCAACAGTGTGCAGCGCTGGCATCACCTCACTGGATGACAAAAGGCAGAAGAGGGCTCCTCCTGAGGTTCAGAGCCACGGTAAGCCTGGCGCCATCTGCTCTGCTGGGGCATTTTTAAAAAATTAATTAATTTATTATTATTTTTAAATCCTTATCTGAGGATATTTTCCCATTAATCTTCAAATGGGGCTGAGGGGAGAAAGAGAAACATCAATGTGAGAGAGACACATGGATTGGTTAGTTGCCTCCCACACGACCCCAACCAGGGCTGGGGACCCAACTGCAACCGAGGTATGTGCCCTTGACCAGAATCAAACTCGAGACTCTTTGGTTCGCAGGCTGACGCTCTAACGACTGAGCCAAACTGGCCAGGGCTTAGATTACCTGTCCAGTACCTTTCTGCCCAAAAAGCGAAGTATGGGGTGGGTTTCTAAGTTCTAGAAGAGAGGTGATAGCTGCCACCACTCTAACAGGGACAAGGCCAGAGTCCCAACATCTGGGGGACCCCTTGCCCTGGTAACTCCTTGTCTAAACTGTAAACTAGACAGAACTTCAAAGCCACGTTTATAAAAGAACGTTGGTCACAACAGACCAAGAGGAACGAAATTTTACAAGCAGGCACATTCTGGAATTCTTAAAACTGGCTCTGTTTTTCATCCTTCTTTGAACCAGGCTTTCCAGCCGCCCTCATTAGCCTGTTAGTGATGTTAGTATTTGTATGCTTCGTTTAAACGTTGTTATCTGCAGCTGTTAGTCAACACTTGTCATGGGAGCTGGAACAAAGGCCTGGGGTTCCCTTAAACAAAAGGTCCTTCCCTGCCCTTGCAGGACTGGCCCAAGGACCAAGGGTCGCGGTTTCAATTTCCGGACAAGGGCACCTACACGGGTTGTAAATTCAATACTCAATCCGGAAGCAACCAATGGATGCGTCTCTTCCACACCAATGTTTCTCTCTCTCTCTCCCCGTCCCTCCCTCCCTTCCACTCTGCCTAAAATCTAAAGGGAAAAAATATCCCCGGGTGAGTTTTAACAAAAAAACAACAAAAAGTCCTTCCACAAAGAAGTGCAGCTTCCAAACCCGCCTGCCAGACCCTAACGACCGGCGCGGCCCTTGGGCCGGAGCGTGCACACACGTGCACTTTCCAAAGGGCAGAAACGGCTCAACGTCAAACCCTAGGACCCCACGACCGAGTGGGCCACCGCTTAAAGAAGAGCACCGGTCCTATCAACGAAGCCCAAACACAGACGTGCACCTGCGCGCGTGCAGAGCTCAACCACAGGAGTCAGCCGGTGCCCTGCAGGAGGAACGGGCGCGGACCCACTCCGCCGACGCGGCCACAGCGGCCACAACGGGCGGACGCGGGCCCGGGGCTCAGCGGGCGCGCGCGGGGCACGCAGGTGTGCAGGGCGCGCAGGTGTCCGAGCGGCGCGGTCGCCCTCCCGGCCCCGCCGCTCACCCGGCTCGGCGCCGCATCCCTGCACTCCGCGCCGCGCTCTGGGGCACGCTGGCAGCCGCGCCCGGTGAGGGAGCGGCAGAGACGAGGGGCACGGCCGACCCTCAGCGCCCGCCCGGCCGCCATGGCCCATGACCCCGGCTCCCGTGGCGCACGGCAGAGTCGCGACGGCGCGCGGGGCTGCCTTACGGCAGGTCGCAGAGCCAGGGGGCGGAGCGTGGCGGGCCGACCGTGCGCTTGCCCTGCACGTGACCGGCTGCGGGGGCGGCGGGCCGGTGCGGTGGGCCCGGTGGCAGCTCTTTGGCCGCGGCCGTTCCGGACGGCTGCGCACGGCAGCCGGCGGCGAGCTCGGCGCGGGGCGCGGCGGGGCTCCCGAGCACGTTTTCCCAGGGAGGGAGGCGTTCGGCCCGGGGCGGGGCTGCCGGCCGGGCGACGGCGGGAGCCGCGGAGTCGCAGAGCGTCGGCGGCGGGGCGCGCGATGGCGCAGGTGGCACAGGTGAGCGCGGCGCGGTGGCTGCGCGGCCCTCCTCCCTCGTCCGGGCGGCGCGCCCACGCCCCCGGCGCGGACCCCGCGGGGCTCGACGCCGCCCCGGCCCCTGGATCCAAAGCGGGCCGGGCCGGTCTCCGAGCCAGGCCCCCGGAACCGGCCCGGCCTCCCTATCTCCTCCGCGGCTCTCCTTCCCCGCCGACTCCCCCGGCCCGGCCGTAGCGCCCCCCCCTCCCCCGCGGGCCATTGTGAGGTCAGGCCGGCGGGCGCGTCGGGGGCCCGGGCGACACGCCCGCAGCGGCCGCTGCGGCCAGTAGCTGCCGCCGCCACCGCCGGCCCCTTCATCGGCTGCCCCATTCAGACCTAGCCGGGAGGGGTCAGAGACATGCAGCTTGGGGCCCAGCTCCGGTACCGCGCCCCGTAAAGGGCTGATTTTCCACCTCGCCACTCACCTACGGGAAGCCAAGACCACACCAGCTTAGATCTCTCTGGGTAAAGTACTGGGAGGGAGGTGCGAGCGGGGGAGGCAAGAAGCCAGGCAGCCTGCCCTTCGTGGCCCCCAGAGGCGCGTTCCGGGGACACCTAAAGGGACCGGTTTCCATCAATATCCCATCCTCCTGCAGGGAGCTGTTTTGTAGAAACCCGGAAGCTTGAAAACAGGGTTAAAGCCGCTCTGAAGCCCTGACGGGAGGGCTAGGGAATGAGTAATTCATTGTTGACACACTGTGGGGGAGGGGAGGGCAATGCTAGGGTCTGGCGATACCAGGCCTCCAAAGTTCAAGATCGTGCCCTTAGCATAACCCTATTGCCTTTCCTTCGCTGTGGAATTTTATATCCCTGCAGCGAAGGTTTGTGAGGTCCTGACAAGGTGGGGGGAATGGAGAGGAACGTGGAAGTGAACCTTCTGAGGTGTCTGGTAACCACTGGAGGTGTTTGTTTCTCTTAGAGTTACTTTTTCCGGAAACTCGGGCACAGATAGCCTTTTGGCCAGGTGGATGCTTAGATAGTACTGTTAACCTCTGAAGGCCAGAGAGCTGCTGGTTTGCATTCCAGAAGGGGACTCTGCTGGTGCCAGAAAGCAGCTTCCAACGTTAAGACTAAGAAATGTGTGCCCTTGCCAAGCTGAGAGTTCAGACCACTTCATGCCAGGCTTGAGAAAATGTATCTGTTCCCTTTACAGGTGAAGGAACTTGACATTCCCAGGCCCAGAGCTCTAGCTCGCTGGACACTGCAGTCACCCCAGTCTGTTCTTGATCAGTGCCGTGTTTAGGTTATTTTCAGGAGCAGGAGCCGATTAGTCTCTTCTTTCTATACTTGAGCATGACTTCTCTGGAGTGCAATAATGACAAGCTCTTTTGAATGTAGCGTTTCACCTGCGGTCCGGAGAGACCCGGGTTCGGTTCCTGCTAAGGGCATGTACCTCGGTTGCAGTTTGTCCCGGCCCTGGTTGGTCGTGCGGGTGGCGGCCACTTGATGTGTCCCTTTCACATCGATGTTTCCCTCTCTCTCTCTTCTTCTCTCTCCCTCCCACTCTATCTGTACAAAAAATGGAAAAATGTCCTCGGGTGAGGATAAAAAAAAAAAAAAAAAAAAAAATCATGAATGTAGCGTTTCAAAATGAGAAATTTAGACTACGTTGGTATATGGTTACCATTCTGCAGAGACTCTGTAGTGTAATAAGTTGTCATTCTTGTCCTCTTTTAGTGCTGGTGAAACGGAACACAACCAGAGTATGGATATGGGAAACCAACACCCCTCTATTAGTAGGCTTCAGGAAATACAAAAGGAAGTGAAAAGCATAGAACAGCAAGTAATGGGCTTCAGTGGTCTGTCAGATGACAAGAATTACAAGAAACTGGAGAGGATTCTAATGAAACAACTTTTTGAAATAGACTCTGTGGATACTGAAGGGAAAGGAGATATTCAACAAGCTAGGAAGAGGGCAGCACAAGAGACAGAGCGTCTTCTCAAAGAGTTGGAGCAGAATGCAAACCACCCACACCGGATCGAAATAGAGAACATCTTCAGAGAAGCCCAGTCCCTGGTGAGAGAGAAGATTGTGCCGTTTTATAGTGGCGGCAACTGCGTGAATGAGGAGTTTGAAGAAGGCATTCAGGATATCATCCTGAGGCTGACGCACGTTAAAACCGGAGGGAAGATCTCCTTGCGGAAAGCCAGGTACCACACCCTCACCAAGATCTGTGCCGTGCAAGAGATCATCGAGGACTGCGTGAAAAAGCAGCCGTCCCTGCCGCTCTCCGAGGACACGCATCCTTCTGTTGCCAAAATTAACTCTGTGATGTGTGAGGTGAACAAGGCAAGAGGCACCCTGATCGCACTGCTGGTGGGAGTCGACAACAACGAGACGTGCAGGCACTTGTCCTGCGTGCTCTCGGGGCTCATTGCGGACCTGGATGCCTTGGATGTGTGCGGGCGAACAGAGATCCGAAACTATCGCAGGGAGGTGGTGGAGGATATCAACAAATTATTGAAATATTTGGATTTAGAAGAGGAAGCAGGTACTACCTATGCATTTGACCTGGGACAGAATCATTCCATCCTGAAAATAGAAAAGGTCCTCAAGAGAATGAGAGAAATTAAAAATGAACTCCTGCAAGCACAGAATCCTCCTGAATTGTACCTGAGCGCCAAAACAGAATTGCAGGGCTTGATTGGACAGCTGGATGAGGTAAGTCTCGAGAAGAACCCCTGCATCCGGGAAGCCAGGAGGAGAGCCGTGATAGCAGTGCAGACCCTCATCACTCACATCGACCTGAAGGAAGCCCTGGAGAAAAGAAAGTCGATTGTGTGCGAGGAGCACCCGTCGCACAAAGCTGTCTGGACTATCCTGGGACACTTGTCCGAGATCTTGGGAGAAGTTCTGTCATTTGATGGGAACCGGACTGATAAGAACTACATCCGGCTGGAGGAGCTGCTCACCAAGCAGCTGCTGGCCCTGGACGCCGTGGACCCACAGGGAGAGGAGAAGTGTAAGGCGGCCAGGAAGCAGGCTGTGAAGCTGGCCCAGAACATCCTCAGCTATCTGGACCTGAAATCTGACGAGTGGGAGTACTGAGGCCCAGGGCCCCACGTCCGCACTTCCTGTTCTGCACTTTACACACGTGTATGTATTTACGGAGAGCTTTCGGTTCACTGAACCTAAATGTGATTTATACGTGCATATTTCAATCTCAGTATTTATGATTTAAGCAAATTATATTCAGTATTTGCTGCTTTTGATGTCGCAAAACAAATACCATTACAGCTCACTGACTTTTCCATTTGGGTCATTATCTCTATGTTGTGGTGTTATTTTTTTAATCAGAAAATTGAATAGGGGCAGCTTTTGTAATTTTTAACTGGGTTGTGCAAAAGCATGAAAATGCAGCTATTTCAGAATCTAGAAATAGACGCAGTCTTACATAATACTAGAACTGTAGGTAGGGATGTCTTGGATTAAATAGAAGTGAGGTCCAAGCACAAAAGCAGTACAGTGTATGTTTCCATTTATGAAGCCTGATTGATCCCAACCGAGTTAATTCGGTGGGGTGTGTGTGTGTTTTTCTTTTTGTTGGATGGTCTGTTCTTTCATAAACTTTTGTTTGAAAAATTGCATTTCCCCCTTACTCAGTTAAGAGAGGGGAACCTTATTTTTGCGTATGATGTAAGAAAATTATGAAAATTAATAGCAAAGACACCTTTGAGGCTGCATTGAAGAAGGGGTAAAACACCAGGTAAGATTTTCAGGTTGTTTTGTTTGTAAAATCTAAACTTTACAGTTTCCTTGGTAATTTGTAAGGATGGGAACATTTCAGTGACGTTAGTGCACCTTTAAAAAAGAAATGAAAGGGAAACACCCATACCTGCAGTGGGATCATGAGAACTGGACATGAGTTGCCAGTGTCCCGTGTTGCTACACCTAAGTGGACGTGTCTGAACGCAGCACGTGGTGGGCCGCTTCCGTCATTGGCTGCACATGGACAGGCCCATCAGACACCCAGAGCTGCCCTACAGCGGATGGGGCAGAAAGTGTCGGCGGCCTGCAGGCTCAGGTCTCTACCGCTTGTCCGCGGAGGTAGCCGGCAGCTACTAGGGTCTGCAACGTCGCACTCGGACCAGGCAGCGGAAGGTGCTCAGAGCACCTGCTGCGCCCCAGCTCCCATGACTAGCACGAGGATGTTTCTAGAGCCTGAAAGACCCAGGAGAGTGTCAGTGCCTGAAGTTGTGTTTCTTTTGCTAAAGGGTTCACATGTTCCTGCAGATGCTCCCTGAGGGCCCCAGGCTGCCTGTCAGTGAACAAAACAATATTCCCTGCACTTCTGCAGGGCCTTGATAACGTGTTGGCCCATTACAGCTAACAGGTTCCTCCTTTGTAGCCACCTTCACAAAATAGTCATATTGGAGTATATCTTTCAAACTCTCTAGTAACCTGTTGTCTTTCAGAGATATTAATTTGGTAGTTTTATGTAAACAGCTAAAAATACAATAAGTGAAGGAATAGCCCTAAATACCTAAAATATGATAGAGTGGAGCCCTAGACAGATTTTGACTTTGTCTCAGTGTTGCCCAATAATCAAAAGCCTTTGATAGGTCTTTCCTACTAGCATTGTAGATTCATTGGATAGTGGGGTCAAAGGACAGTCTCTGGGTCACAGGGCAGTGAGCCTCTCCCATCTGCCCACCTAGCTCCAGGCAACTGAAGGCTGTCTCAGTGCAAGCTATTGGTAGGTAGCTCATGTTGGCCAAAGTCGTTTTAGGAGGCGATTCTGGGCCGTGATTCTAGGGTCCTCTCTAGGGTCCTCTGCCTCAGAGCAATGGGGAGTTTCAGAACACTGGAGAGTCGGGGCTTGCCTCGGTTCACTGCAGACATCCTGCAGCAGCCGAACTTGATTTTTAATTTCAGATCCAGAAGTTAAATGCCCGTGTCTGCATCCATTGTTCTTTGCAAACAGTTCTGCCCATGCCGTTGGTTTCCTACGATTTCTGTAGGTGTTAGAGCTGGCTGGCTTCTGCTGATCTCTGAGCTGTGCGGTTAGGACACTGAACTCAGCCACCCGCCCTGGGGACTGCTCACGTGGGTCATTTTGGTCTTCGAAACCATCCAAACTTGAGTGACCGTTAAGGTGCAAGGTCTCCTGTGTTCAGTCTGTAGCAGTTCCTTGTACCTGCTTATTCTGCCCCACCATGAGCCCCAGCCATACTGGATTTAGCTTTTCCTGTCTCTTTAGGGAGCAGTCTGTGTTCATGTGGGCTGCTGCATGTAATCTTGAAATCGGCTCATTATATTGTTGTACTTTCATGATCTGACATGAAGAGACTCTGTAATGGAAGTAAAACCTACCCCCTAAAAATGTCTGGCTTGGGGTCTGCATTAAACAGTGTAATTCATGTTCATGCAAAAAACGGCTGAGGATGTCTGCTTTCTTTACCTGCCTCCATCAGCCCAGAATGGCAACAGTCAGCCTGAAGTAGTTACAAAAATAAATGAATCACCCTGGCCGGTGTGGCTCAGTTGGTTGAGCGGCGTCCCATGCACCAGAAGGCACCGTTTGCTCTCCTGGTCAGGCACATGCCCCGGTTGCAGGCTGGATCCCCAGCTGCAGGAGGGAGGGTGCAGGAGGCAGCTGGTCAGTGTTTCTCTCCCTGTCCCTTCCTCTCTAAAAAAAAAACAAAACGAATCAACATGTCAACCAACCACAGTTTAATGCTTTGTTTGCCTAAGACCCCCTGGTATATATAGATTTGATACAATTTAGCATGTTTGAGAAGTTGAACCAGTTTTTCTCATTTGTTTTACTTTGCCAGTATTCACATGTTATTTTGAGGGCCTAGGTTTATCCTGTACATACAGTTTTTTGTTTTTGTTTTTTAAATCCTCACCCAAGGACTTTTTTTTCCATTTATCTTCAGATAGAGTGGGAGGGAGGGAGAGAAACATCGACAACCCCACGAGGGCTGAGGACCGAACTGCAGCCGAGGTACGTGCCCTTGACCAGAATCGAACCTGAGACTCTGGTCTGCGGGCCAACACTCTAACCACTGAGCCAAACCAGCCAGGGCTACATACAGTTATTTTAAGCAAAGCTTTTCAGCTTTTAACTCATCTGGTACTTTTCTCTTAATAATTGGAGAGATATTTGCCGTTGATTTTGATGTATGATGTATGATACAGGTGTGTTATTCCAGTGTGTTGTCCTGTCCCCTCTCTATTAGCCATGTGACTATTGTAGTAATAGCATGTCTTAAATATTCAAGATTATTTTGCAATATACATATTATCATAACTTTAATTATTAATGAACAAAAGCTCTTAGCTTACCTGTGCAGTGGAGACGTGTGAATCTGAGGTGTGAGCTCTGTTCTCGTGTCCTCAGCGGCATTGAGTCTGGGCCAGGCGTGGGGAAGGTGGGCCCCTTGGCTCCACTTGGTGGCAGTGGTCTCAGGAGGTGGCAGCCCTAAGCATAGATCAGGGTCCAGCCACAGGTGAAGGGGAAACGTTCCCATTTAAACAACCCAGGAACATGGAGGCCAGGGAAGGGCTGCCAGGCTCAGGGGAGAGGTGGGCCCTTAGTCCTTCCAGTGTGTCCGGAACGCTCCTACCTCGGGCTTCCTGAGCCTCCCCCGGCGCTCCCTGCAGTGAGGACCGTTGCCTTCACTGGCAGCCGTGTCTGCTGAAAACTCACCACGTGACAGCAGGGTATCGTTCTAGTCCGAGCCTTTCCTGCAGACTTCTCTGTGGCCTGCTCTCTTCCTGGGGATCGGAGACAGAACTGGAGGCAGCCTCCTGGGCCATGCAAATATGTAGGCGCAGAAGTGAAAAGGAGCAGGTTGGACAGGTTAGAAAGACATACTTGGGGGGCCTGGCCAGTGTGGCTCAGTGGTTGAGCATCGACCCATGCATCAAGAGGTCGTCAGTTCGATTCCCATTCAGGGCACATGCCCAGGTTGTGGGCCAAGTCCCCAGTGGGGGGCATGCAGGAGGTGGCCAATCGATACTCTCTCTCATCGATGTTTCTATCTCTCCCTCTCCCTTCCTCTCTCTAAAATCAATAAAGAAAAACAAATTTTTTAAAGAAATACTTGGGGGGAGATTTTCCAGTTCCAGTAGGCCCTCTGCCATAGACGTGCTGTGCCACGCCAGGCTTCACTTACATGGAACCCTTAGCAAGCTCCTGTGTGCTTCTGAGTGAATGGAAGTACCCATCACACCGTGTCGCCCCAAACACCAGTCAGTGGAGGCGATAAGGGACACGTGTTTGAGCATAAATACCTGGATGCCAGGACACGGCGGTGGAGTGCGCTGCAGAGACCAGTGGGTGCCACAGGCCAGGGAAGGGGCATGGCCCGAGGCTGACCAGGTAGGGCACAGTCTGGCCTTGGCGAGCCGCTAAAGCCCCCAGTGTGTGTCCAGGTGGCAGTGCACAGCCCAGGGCCGAGCCCAGCTTCTGGGCTGGGGTGGCACCTGTCTTCCAACACAGGGTCCTTAGCACTGAGGACCGAGGACTCATCATCAGTTAGAACAGCCTAAGCTCCAAACAGCAGGACACCTTTCCCCGTGAAAACTAAGAAATGCTGCTGTACACCAGCATCTTCTGTCTTTATTTTTAATCCTCGCCCAAGAATTTTTTTTGCATGTATCATCAGATAGAGTGGAAGGGAAGGAGGGAGAGAGAGAGAAACATCGATGTGAAAGGGACACATTGACTGGTTGCCGCCTGCATGACCTGACCAGGGCCGGGCACGAACCACAACCGAGGTATTCCACCTTGTCCTCAAAGCAAGGGTGGTCTTACCCCTCAGCATTCAGACCTGCCCCGGCCACCAGGGCCCCAGCTCCTGGTTCGAAACAAACCGCCTCCCTCCATCTCCTCTTCATCCCGTGGTCACTGAGTGGCTGGTTAGTTGGTTTGAGAACCTTTCAGCTCATGAGCCGTTTCCCTTTATTGCTGGTCCTCTCATGCTGCCAGGTGCCAGGCGTGGAGGCCAGCCACGTCCCACCAGCCTGATGCCCCTGGCTGCTGGCTCCTGGGCCTGAGGTCTCATCTCAGCACCCCCTGCTGCTGTCCTCATCATGCCGCCCACCCTGAAGGCTCAGGCAGGCCCAGGGCACTCTCAGTGGCCCTGGGCTCCTGGGTCCATGTACCTTCCTTTCTCTGGGAACCCAGGTTTCATCTTCCCACCCTCACCCCTGACTCAGCCACTCAAAGGAAGGTCAGGTGTCCTAGGACCAGCGTGGCTATTGGGGTGGCCCTGTGGTTAGGGGCCATGTGGTCTTGGATGAGTATGCAGGCTG